TACTTACATACACACATACATACACACACACATACATACATACATACATACATACATACATACATACATACATACTTACATACATACATACATACATACATACATACATACATGCGTACGTACATGCATACATACATGCATGCATACATACATCAATACATACATCTATAGGGGATCTTAGCAAGGGGTTTTGAAGAATGAAGGTTTCAAGGTTATGGTTATTAGGTTCAGGGTTTGGTCTGGCGTTGAGGGACCTGCTAGGCGTCGGTCTGGTGCAGGCGCAGATCAGATCATGTTGCGGACATGGGCATGCCGCTGCAAAAGAGGGTGATGACAAGGAGAACTTCCAGTTAGTCTAGCATCTCTTCGGAGAAAGTCAGACAGGGCTCATAAGAACGAAGCCATGAAGGGCTTGAGCAAGATTGTCGAGCTCGGTTTAAGTTCAACCTCCTTGCGAAAGAGAGCAACATCTGTGCTTGGACCCACAGCATTCGAGCCTAATCGCCCCAAACCATCCCAAACCTTGCACCCCTATCTGTTCAGAACGAAAACTGACTGAAGCATAAACCCCAATCGCGGCATGGGGGTCAGAATTTCGATTCCAGAACCTAAAACCCTAAACCCCTGGTTTTGAACCCCAAGCCTTATATGAACCAAACCCTAAACCCTTAACCCCCTAAACCCTTAACTACCCCCAAACCCTAAACCCTAAACCTGAACCGTACACTCAGCCCCTAGGGCCGAGGGGCCCGCTCAGGCTATCTTTTGAACCTCGGATTGAATTTCAACTTTATCGCGCACGCGGCTCGTGATCTGCCTCGCTTCCTGCGCCCTCAGGACGGGTTCAGGGTAATCTAGGGGCCCTGATACTAATAATAATGACATGTAGAATAGGGTTTTAAGGTAATATAGGGGCCTGAATACTCATAATAATGATGATCAGAATAGGGTTTTATTGGTAACATGATGGTGCATTGATTGGCTTCTGCATTATAGTGTTCTGTTCCTGTGCGGGATTGCTTTAGCAGGGATTTGTGTCGGCTCTATAGGGGATGTTAGGCCCGTTAGGGCAACCCTGCTCCGTATGTTGCAACATCAAAGGTTTGGAAAGCTCGGGCTCAAGGTTTAGGGTGTTAGGGCTGGAGGTTTAGGGTGTATCTACATCTGGTGGCCCTCGTTCGCAAGTAGAATCGCGAAACCCTAAACTTGGACCCTAAACCCTAAACCCTAAACCCCAAACCAATGCCTTGCATGCCCTCGACAGCGCTCCTCCAGCTTTGCTCAGGTCTTGGGGCTCCGTTTTCAGTGTTGGGCCAGATCACTCTTTGCGCCCGTCGTAAACAGATATACTAAAGATGCATATGTGCGTATAGACACATTTAACATGTGTCTCTATACATACATATATATATATATATATATAAGTGCATGTACTTCTGTCTATACATGTACGCATACACGTTTGGTTGATTTTGGTACAAGTGATCCTCGTAATGGCCATGCCACAAGAAATGCACGAGAAGGCAGCTTGCCAGATGTAGGATTTGTAGGACCGGTCCAAGCAGGTAGCAGACTTCCAGCTTTTTAGATTGTAGTGTTTGGGGGTTTTCGGTTTAGGGTTTCGGATTTAGGGCTGGAGTTCGGGATCTGATGATCCTTCAGACCCTGTCCAGGGCGTCAAAGTACCCACGCGGACCGCCTACGCAGTGCCGCTGGCTGGTGCCAAAGTGCAGGGCTCAAAGACCTTAGCCCCGCAAGCGGCTTAAACTTTGTTAAGGGTTCGAGGCTGAAGAGGAGTACAGCTTCCTCCACATCTGTCTTCCATCCCAGAACTCAGCTGCAGTCTTCCAGGGCCTATGTCTCAGACCAATCACGGCGACGATGCAAGTTTCGTTTCAACCCGTTGTGCTGCCCACTGCCTTCAGGAGTGGCAATTTCATTTTGACGTATCCGGTGAGGGTTTGTCTATCTTATGCAGGGCATCACTCATAAGGTTCACTCGAACATTTACTTTCATGATAGGAAGCATGGTTGCTGTTTTCGGGTATCAGGTTTAGGGCATGTAACGTAGAGTTTAGCAACTCGGATGGCTTGGGCTTGGTTCGGTTATCGTTTCCCCAATGTTTCCTGAAGGATTAGCTCTTCTTTAAAGAGGGATGCAGGATACTATGCTGCGCTCCCCGTAGTCATGGCGCCTTTTTATCTGTCTCTCATATGTATGGGAGTTTCCGAAAATTAGGGTACCTTATTTGGGGTCCTTGGAATAAGGATCATACTATTTAGGGTGCTATATTAGGGTCCCCTATTCTCGAAATCCCCCATATGATGGGGCACCTGTCGTCTGCCGTTTGAGAGGTTCAGAGGAAGCGCAAAAAGACATTCCTGGCGACTAGGTGTTAGGAAGTTATACGAAAAGTGCAATCGCACAGTACCCAATGAAATTGGACATGGGCATAAAGCCAAGCAGCCAAGCAAACAGTATCTAGATTGTGATTATTCCTCATTCGTGCGATGGCACACAGGTCAGCGCTCTTCGAAGCTTTTGAAACAGACAGTGCGTTCCGCTTGTGGCATACAGAGAACAATGTTTGCCAATGCTTATCCTGCCAGGGAGAAGGATACAGCTGGTCAGGGTCGCTGACCTTCTTGACCAATGGCGAGACCAACAACGAAGAGCAGCTTTGGGTCATCACATCCTTCACCGAGGACGGGAATGCCTTCAAGATTGCCAACGTGAAGCACGGACTATTCTTATGCGCACATAGGCGGCTCGCTGGCCCAATCCTCTTTTGTCATCGAGAAAACGGCGAGTCTGATCAGGCGTGGCTTTGCCTTCCTACTCTCCAGGACCGTTTCGACCTTAACAATGTAAATGTCGGCAAAGTAGCCAATGGCTCGTGGCATGTGGAGCATGTCCGGACTTTCGCAGGCTTCGGCCAAAGGCCTGCGCCAACAACTCCGGCTGCAGATTCCCACACCATGGGCATTGCTGCTGCAGCAGGGGCTGCGGGAGCAGTGCTGGGGGCTGCAGCCATCGTGGGTGCTGCGGCCCTCGGCAGCAATGAGAATCGAACACGTAACGCCAACGACAGACGCCGTGATGTTGAGCGCCGACGAGAGCAAGATGACAAAACTGCCCTTGCAGCTGTGGCTGCTGGAGCAGCTTTTGGAGCCGTCGCCGGAATTTCCAAGGCAGTTTCGTACTTCAGCGGAACTGCTCCCATGAGCTCTACGTCTACTCCGGCAAGCTCAAGCACCGGGACAGCACCGCAGCCTACTCCGACAAGCACGAGCACAGGGACCACACGGCAGTCGCCGGTTCGAGTTGAGGAGCGGTACTCGGCTGCGGCGCGTGCATCACAGACCCCTTCTGATGGAGGCAGTGCTGCCGCATTATGTGAGGTTTTTGTTGGTATCATTGTCGTTGGTTGTTGCAGTTCGTGCTGTGCGCGGACTTGCCTGCTTGTTCTGAATGGTTTTGCCGAGGCAATCCGAACACTTTCGGATACGCGGCTGGTCAGACGGGCACGGCATCAGCCACACCCTGCAATCACGATGCAGAAGGCTCACCGATGTAGTCATGTCGGTATCATAAAGGCCATGACAAGCTAGTCACGGCAACAGTTCCGACATACTCATGTGATGAAGATGGAGAGGTCTGACTGTTTCCTATGTGATTGCAGTTTGTCCTTTTCAGTCTCTTTGAGTAGCATCCGGATGTTAGCCCACGCCTGCTGCCTTCAGAGTCATGGTAATTACCCAGAATGGGACCCAACACCGCTGAACCCAACCCCCTAAACTCCAAACCTTGAACCTGGCTGTGCCTTGCTGATTGCTGCCTTAGTTTTGACAAGCATGGAGTCGAAAGGGATGCAGAATTGGGTGGGTTTGCAGCCGAAACCGTGGTTGAGTTTGAGAAGAATAGTAATCGTCACCGTCGTCTCCACCCAAACGAAAGTTCTTTTGTTCCATACCTTTGAGAAACCAGCAGGATGGGAGACCGAGAGCACGGCGTGGACGGTGGTTTCCAGTTGCGACGAGTCTTCTTCACCCGGCGCTTCGTCGAAGGAAGTCAAAGACAACATCGATCGGGCAGGCAAGACTAGTCTATGCACGGTTCATGGCTTTTGCTTGCATGAAGAGGGCTGCAAGCAAGTTAACCATGGCAATTGCCAGCAAGACCTTGAATGATGCTGTACCGGCAAGACCAGTACTGCGTCCTGTTGAGTAGCATGTCGTTGGCGACGACTAGGAATGTTGATAGCGGTCATGGCAGTGGTGGTAGTGTTGGTGATCATAGCGGTCATGCTCGTAGTGGTGACAATGATGCTGGTTATGCCATGCTTATGTTGCTGCGCATCATGACTTCGGTGATGGCACTGGTGGGGTGCTCATAGTTCTGTTCTAGCAGTACCAGTAATGAAAAGTCACCCTGGTAGTAACCCATACCCTGAAAGAAGCTGCTATATGACCCTTATAGTACTTTTGCAGAAACCCTTACAGTACATTGCAAGGCCCCTTTAGAGATCCTTGTAGCACCTATAGAAATCCTTATCGTACCCTTGCCAACTGGATTTGGGTCTTAGATGCATGCTTTGTGAGAAATGTTTAGGGTTCCTGTCTTTAGGTTTTCGGGTTTATGTAAGGGTGTAAGGTTCGTGGTTCAGGCATTGAGCAAGCAGTGAATGCCATTTCGTCTTCGGCCGAGCCTACGACTTTGAAGCGGGCCCGTTTGCAATGCCTCTCTTCGCTCCTGATCAGCCTTTTGGAAAGCCCGAGTGATGCCGACCGGCTCAGAAAGTATGACCTACTTGTTCAATCCAAGCTGGACGCGGCCTGCTTCCATACCCTCGAAGTGGCTTCTTGGCTGTGAGACAGTTCTGTTTGAGTCTCAAGGATTCTCAGAAGCGTTCTCTTAAAGTGTTCGTATGATCTTAGTAAACCCTACACCCTTAACCCCTAAACCCCTTAACCCCTTAACCCCTTAACCCCTCAACCCCTAACCCCTGAACCCCTAAACCCCTAAACCCCTGAACTCCTAAACCCTAAACCCTTAATATTGTCTACCGCGGCCAGCTACTGCAGGGATCAAGGCTCTGATGTTCGTGTGGTAGCTTGTTGTTCAAGCTCGGAGCCGGATTTGAGTGAATTGTGATGGTGGTTTTGGGTTTTGGGTTTAGGGGTTTTGGGGTTTTGGGGTTTCAGGATTTGGGGTTTGGGTTTAGGGTTCAGGGTCTAGGGCTGCATGGTATTCTTGATTTGTTAACTTCGCCCGGTGTCTTTCGACGATCTTCTCCAACTCTGGGCAGAACTTGCGACTCATGGATTTGAGCCGTTAGCTGTGTGGCAGACCGAAAAATATTGAAATAGGTGGAGGCCTCGGGACACGATTGTAAGTCCAGGGTATATTCTTTTTGCAAATGGCTCGAGGTTGTCAAAGTCATGGTGGGTATCTGTTCCCAATATGGCCACTGACTCTAATTTAAGATTTCTGCATCGTAGTCTTCTTGAGGTTCCTGCGAGGACTCCGGGATTCGTGCACTCCACTCACTGGAAGGCTAGGAGGTCCTTTCTTAACGCCCCTGTCCGAGAGCCATTATCCCTTAACCCTAAACCCCAAACCCTAAACCCTAAACCCTAAACCCCTTAACCCTAAACCCCTAAACTGTAAACCTCAAAACCCTGCCTCAGTCACAGTCATCATGACTTTCGTCTGAACACTAAATCTTATAAGTGTTGGCCTCGCCATGCAAGGCAGGATTCCACGACCGCGGAGATGAGTTGGTGTACCAGACGGACGGTGACGAGAAGTCTGTGCACCTTGACACATACTTTTTGTAGTAAGGATGATATGACAAAAGAAGTAGTAATAGTCAGAGTAAGAATAATAGCAGTGGTGACCTTTCTACTGCAGTCACTGACATGGCCAGTAGAAATCGTATCAGTACTAGTAAGAGTAGACATAGTAATGAATTGCAATAGGAGTCCTGATAGTCGTCGTCGTAGTAGTAGTAG